AGCTTTCAATACCCATCCTGGAAATTGACAGAATTCATACAACTTTACAGCATCACTAAGTACCACAATGCTTCAAACAGCACACTCACAATGACTTACACTACAACTGACATGACCTCAGTCTTTCCTTGTCAAGCTGCTCAGGCAACTATTGGCCTTCTGTGAGAATCTGAGCTCCAGTTATAACTTTAATGACAGAAATACATTTGTAAATGGTATAAAAAGAGCCCTTCAAAAAGCAAAGAAAGGCTTCGCTGTGAAGGAGTTGCTGCCTGTTGCCCAGTGAGCAGCACGGAGAAATCAAGAGGTCTGTGTTTAGAGATTGCTTCACTGGAACCGTGCATGTGTGATACTGCAGTTCACAGAGAGCACTACTCTCATTATTCCCAACTTCAGCTCAATATAAATCCCCTCTGATAACAACATGTTGCAGGCCTCTGTCATCTTCATACAGTGTCGTAAAAGAGCATTTCATTACAATGTCACCAGTCATAATCCTCGGACCAGCGTGGCCCTCATAGAGCATCAAACACAGGACTCTGGAAAACAGAAAAGAGAAGGAGAAAAGGGATAAAGACGGAGAAAAGGAGTGGTGTAATGGCGCATGTGTTTGTAAATAATCTCCATGTCACGTTAGTAAATAGCAGTTTATTTAACAAGCATCACATCACAGAAGCGCACCCACCTCCCACCGCCTCTCCTCCTTCCTTCATCCCTCTCTCCTTCCCTTCCCTCCTCTCCTCTTCTCCGCTCTCCTCAGTTCCGCTCTTGTCTGCGCTTGGCGGTTAGGCTACAGCGGAGCATTAATAATAATAACAATGATAAACAGAGAGGCGAGATAACCACAGCAGTGTGTGTATAAGAGGCCCTCGCGCTCAGCCAGCTTACAGCGCTTAGCCCCCATTAAAGATGGGATGCGGAGGGGAAGAGGGAAGGCGGGGTGGCGGCGGGGAAAGTAAGAAGCTGTTATTTTGCATGATATTAACCACATGAAAGCGTGCGGCTGCCGAGGACAGTAAAAGTCGCTGAAGAAGACAGAGGGAGGGTGCGAGAGAGGGAGGAATAATGTAAATAGCGGCTGGTGGAGTTATCGGGCATAGCACTGTCAGACGTGTGTGCATGCATGTGTGTGTGCGTGTGTGTTATCATACGAAACGCTGTCAGACGGCCCATTGTTTGGGAAGCGATAAAAGGCAATTTCCCAGAGTCCCTTGTAGAACCACACGCTCGGCTTAATTTGAGGGCCATTTTCCGTGACAGTGTTGACAGTTTATACATCTCTCTCCCTATTTCTCTCTCTTTTTTGGTGTCTCTCTTTCTCTCTCTCTCTTCTGGGCTTCCTCGCCTCATCCTTCCTGTGTGTGTGTGTGTGTGTGTGTGTGTGTGTGTGTGTGTGTGTGTGTGTGTGTGTGTGTGTGTGTGTGTGTGTGTGTGTGTGTGTGTGTGTGCTCACTTTGTAGTAAAGAGCCTTGTATTCATGTCTGTGTTTATTAGTATCTCACCCCCCTGTTTTGCGTGTTCCCTTTGAGGGAGCAACAATACCTGATAGTCTAATACCTGTCAGTACACACACACTCACATACAGCCCTCTATGTCTGATGGGAATGTTTTTCCCTCTGCCCTGTCTTAATCTTGCCCTGACACAGAGCATTGTGAGCTGTGCTGCGCTGCCATCAGAGGAGAGCGTGTCCTCTCATCATCCTGAGAGCGGGCCTATTAGAGGAGCAGAGGATGATGGGAGGCAGGGAGGAGAGAGGGAGAAAAGAGAGGAGATCGCAGGTTCAGGGCAGGATAATTGACACGGTGGCTCCTGTTGCCTACGGAGGAGGCTTTTTTTTCTTCTTTCTACAATGCCTTTAGTGAGAGCGCAAACAGGATATTGTGCACAAACACACACGCTGGCAAACACATGTACAGTAAATCCATACACACACGCTGTGTGTGAGCAAACAGTTTACTGCTCTGTTTGTGTGCTGTTGTGAGATTTACTCGGCTAAGCTGTTTGCTGAAGTTTAAGGCTTAGAGCCTGTAAATGAAACTGATTCTCAGCAACAAAGTGAGCTTTGTGACACCGTATTTTATTTAACCATGATTTAAACTAGAATAATTAAAGAAAAATAGACTGGGCAGCGTTGTGGAGCCACATGTCAGGCAGCAGGTCAAAAGTTATGGTGAATATGTCGAGAGCAGGTCTCTCTACTCTGTAAGCAAAAGGAAGTATAACTTCAGCTGCAATCAAAGCAAATCTGGGGCATTATTTTACGTTTGTGCTGAGGTGTGGGTGGGTTAATAACAACTAAAGAGCTAAACTGCAGTAAAGCAAAGAGAAGATGACTTTTCAGTTTTCAGTTATGCTTCATTGTTTACTTTACCTCTCTTTACTTTGTCTCTATTTTACACGACCACCAGTGCTCATTTGTTCACATGTTCTGCTTGAAACAAAAGTTTGGGTCCCTTTTTTCTCATTGGCTTTGTTGCTTTTCTCTGCTGTTAAATGTATAAATAATGGATGTTGAATTGTTTTTTAAGCATGTGGTTTTAATTGATCTTAATTGATCCGACAACCTTTCACAAAGACACACAACAATAGCTTAGCCTTCACCTTTGAGCTGTTACTGAATAAATGCAGTGTCCCCTGGAAAGAGGGAAAATGAAGTGGAACCATGGTATAACAGGTCTTTGGATGAAATGTTGAACGTTGTGGTAACGTTGGCTCTCTGTTTCAATGTAATGCAGTGAAAGTGAGTGACTGATGTCTTATGCTAAATGATCTGCAATCAGAATTGAAAGTATGAATGCCAAGCTGATATTTAATGATTATGTTTGCACCTGAAATCTTTTGAGAAGAAGGTAAATTCTAGTTTTAATTACTGTCATGATTCTGAATCTCCAGCCTTACATTACCACATGATACATATCCACCACTTTAAGGTCTACGCTGCTCCTACAGATGAAAACAGGTTTAAAATTTGCAGGTCAGCCACTTTAGAGACTCAGTGAATCAGCCTGCGATAAAAAACATGTTAAGGCTGGCTAACAACATTCCATCCTCTCTGACACAAACCATGATCTAAAAAGTGACAAAGAATAATGACTATCAAACTTAAGCTGCATGATCCCACGCTTTAGGAAGGTCTGACTATAGAGTACTTGTACACCAGTTAATTCTAAAATTGAATATGAAGCTTAATGCCGATCCTAGTCTGAGTATTTTGTTTGGGGTATAAAGGGCACATGAAACACTAAACAAAATAATCATAATTTACAAAAGGCCCTAACAATAAATGATACTTTAGCCATTTATATTTAAGAATCCTGTATTTAAAATCTCACTTTCAAAACATGGCCAACGCGATATTTATTGTGCCGCTGGATGTGACGTGATCAGATTTTTTTTTTGTTTGTTTTTTACTGTGGCATGACAGGAACTCCTATTATTCACCCAAATCTCTCACATGTTCATCTCATCACATGTTTGGAGTATGGGTGGCTCTTCAAAACACGACACAACACTCTAACCCCCAATTTCCACCGCATCCAGAATGGCTGCAAAAAGGCCATATCCGCTGATCGCAGCTGATCGTTTCCAATCAAGTGAATGTGTCAATTTCCATCGGCCTCTTTCCATTCCATTGCGGATCGGCGGACTCTGCAGGTGATCTATTTTGAGTTCTATTTTTTATGTGGAGCATGCTGCATAAATTCAACACAGATTAGTCCGTGCTGGAAAGGAAGTCGGGCACAGACACAAAATAAAACATCCAGCTTCTTTTCAAAATAAAACAATACAGGTTTCAGGCGGATCGTATTTCACCCCATGCAAACAGGTGGGGATGAACAAGTGAGAGGTTTTCAGACAGCATTTCACCCTGATGACCCCATGGATGAGGAGCTGCTGATTCTAGAAGTCTAGAATTCGATTTTTTCTGTATAGATATCTATATATGTGTATATGTGGCTAGTTTTATCAAGCCATATCGTTATCGTGTGATTGCACGTGAATCCGCAGGTTTTTGTGAGTTCTCGTGCTGTCCATAATCTGCCACAAAATTCGCCTCACAAACGGATCTGGTAGGAATTGTCAGACAGCGAAAGTCGCCCCCGTTCTGGATCAAAGCCACTCCGGATCGGAGCAGTAAAACATCAGTATATCACTTGTCTCATCCTGTCTGTTAGGCAACCGGTCATTGGGAGGTCAGTGGATCACAGAGCTACACCAGTGCGATGGAGGAAAAGTTAACTTGAGGTGAAAAACCATGGAATTTTAAATGAAACCACAAACCTTAATCCTAAAAAAAGAAAGCTGACATTCTTACTCTAAATAAACCACTTGTATGTAAACTAGAACTAGTTTACCACCACTATCATTACTACGACTAGTGCTTCTATCTGCAGTCGCAGGAGTCAACCAATCTGATGATGTAGGCCATGATGATGGACAAAGATGGCGGTGAACACACACACACAATCTGTGCCGTTAAAAACAGATTTACTCTAAAACTGCTTGCTTTGCAATTTTGTTTGAGTGTGTGTTATAATAAATCCCCACATCACTATGGTGTGGGTTCATTTCATTGTTTCATGTCCCCTTTAAACATGTCTGATCTATACATCTGTATATCCTGTCACCTACTGTTTGTTGCAAATTGAGCTGCTGTGTTGAAGAAAAAGCTCATATTTTCCTTAGTTATGTCAACCAATATCTACTGCTGCCTCTCTGTTTCTGTGTCATTTCAAACTGTACCTTTTGAACAGATGAAGAATTTGAGTAATTTGACATCTTCACCTTAGCAAAACTGCTGTTAACCCCAATTAGCCACAACCTTGCTGGTGATGCTGCCAAATAAAAATCTTATAATGCAAGGGGCGTCAGATGAACAGTGACTTTTGCAACATCGCAGCACTGATTTTTTTCAGTGTTTTGATAACCTTGTCAGTTTTTTTGTGAGTACAGAAGAACTCATTAGATGGTTTGGCTCAAATGAAATGGTTTACATGAAGTGAAGTAAGGCCGCTAGCTTACTTCACTTAAGAGATCAAATGTCTTAAGTGAAGTAAGCTAGCGGCCAAGGACGGCGAGATTCAAATCTGGCTGTTAGCAGTGTAGCCTCTGTTTATGCAGTGCAGGTCTGAACAGCTGACCCCAACTCCAAATCAAAGTTGAACAAATAAAACCCCTGTATTCTTCTCTCTCTAAACCAGCAATATTGTCAAATATTACACCATAGCAAGTATTGATGAGTCAATATAAACAAAAAAAAAACAAAACAAAAAAACAAATCCTACTATATTACTTTGCTTTAGAGTACAGCCAGACTATTAATAGAGATCTGCTCTTCATATGAATGTAGGCATCTTTACAGCACTGAAATAATGCTGCTGGTGCTACATCTACATATGATAACTATCTTCAGCTGTTTTGCTGAGCACCCACATTTGGACAAAAGGAAGGATGAGACCATACAGGAGCTGTTGCGTTTCTTCTCCTAAGCTTCCACCTGAAGTAGCAACAGAGTAGCTCAGACAAAGATAAAGCTGCCCGGCTATCTGCTTACCATAATCTATAACCTATAAAAAGAGAAGAAAAGACTCCTGCATGGCCATTCTATTCCTTAACTCTGTTATCACTCTTCAAAGCTGAGCTCCTCTGCTGTCTCTCCTGCACCAAGGCTGTTTTATTGTATTGTGGAGAGGAAATATTCTTATTGTATGTTTTTTTTTATTATTATTATATTTCATTGTCTGAATTCTTCACACTGGTGGTCTGGTGAACAAAGCCAATAAGGTGGATTTGATAAAGACACACATTTAGAAGTTGATGGGGTTCTATCTGCCCTCCCTGAGTGATAAGTCCGTTTTCGGTGAAAAGTGGATTGAAGAAAAAAGGAAAGCGTATGCCACAGTCTTTTCAGTCACACAAAATTGCAGACAGCAAAATAATGGCCAAACACCACGGAGTCTTAAAAATAAAGTAAAAGGTTTTTCTGTCTAAAGGCAACAAGTTTAGAAGTTACAGCTTTTGGTTCTGAGAAAAGATTCAATAGACACAAACACTCTTTGTTTTCTGTGAAGCAAGGCTCCTCACCCCACTCCTCTTTTTGTATCCCCCCTCCCCTTGTTACAAATGGCCCCACGTAGGAAATGAGAGGATTGTTATTTCAAACTTAATAATGTTACATGACTCCATCAAGACAATACTGCTCTATCAAACTCCCACAATCTCCAGAGATAATTTAATCACCAAATGCCAAACTGCCACGCCACATTTAGGTGTAATTTTCATCCATGCAAAGGTAATTTGTTTCAGTATTATGAATTAATTAAAGCCTAACGAAGATGGAGAAGGCAGTAGAATGTCTAATCAACAGGCCCTTGAAGACTGATTGATTCTCTCTCCTCCGCATGCTGGCCTATCATGCTTTTGTCCTCGTTGTTGTCACATCTTCTGTTTTGTTTTTTTTTTCCACCACCTCACCTCTTTTTTCTCTAAGCCACTGTTTGCATTTTTGTCTGTAAAGAACTGCACTACATTTTTGCTGGATAAATTGGTTGGCCAAGATAATCAGACATATGTCACAGTATACCGGTGCTAGAATGCTTTACTCCATTTACCCTGACATTAAACCACTTCCTCTTCTTTTAAAATTTTTAAACTAACATTTAATATGGAAAAGGCATTATGGTACTTAACATGGTCCTTGGTTCGGGCATGAACTTGGTAGGGAGCTTCTGTGCCCTCCATCCCCACAACACTCACAGCTAGATCCACTCCAGGCCCTTGTGACTCCTAACAGGGGTTGTAGTTTAGCTTGAGGCTTGAGACGGACAACAGAGGGATTTATAACCTGTACGAGAGTCAACCTACAGAGGTAGGCCCCATGTGGAGAGCCAAACTTTCTGTCCCAGTTGGTATGGAGGAGCAGGGTAAGGCTGCACGATGTTGTAAAAAACTAACACTGCAATTTTTTCAACTCTGCGATATATATTGCGATATTTAAAAATACAGGAATTTTCACCAGATGACCTGAATCGTACTTTATGCTATGCTGCACTTCTGAAATCTTGTGGACAGTCAACCTGTACTGATTTGACCTGTTTTTGTTAATGTTAGTAGATTGGCTTCTGTCTGTCTGAGAGATATTTTTGGCCTGCTTTTATTGTGCTGGGACGTTATTGTGGCAACAGATGAACACAGAAAATGTGTTTAGTCGACATCATCCTTCTTGTAACTGAAATAATTACAGACATTGCTTTTTTTTTGGAAACGAGTCTTCATTTTCGCTGGTTTTCTTTTGTTCGTTACTCATTTTGCAATCGTTGTTGTTGTTACCGGTGTTGTGCTGAGAAACGCATGCCAGCCAAGAATTGCATGCACCTCGCAAAACGCGCATAGTAAAATGGTCCACGGAAATGTACAATTTAAAACCCATACAATTCTTATTTGTTGGGCTTAAAAGTGATGAGTCATGTTCCAAGAGTAATTTTCGGTGGGCACGCGTTTCTCAGCACAACACCGGCAGCACCAGCGTCTCACTCCATGTGTAAGCCATGTGGCGTCAGAAGGTAGAGTGGTCGGCCAATAACTGAAAGGTTGGCGATTCAAGCCCCGTCCTGTCCCTAGTCTGTCCATTGTGTCCTTGGGCAAGACACTTAACCCACCTTGCTCCCAGTGTGTGTCCTCCACTGGTGTATGAATGTGAGTGTTGTGTGGTGGTGGTCGGAGAGGCCGTAGAGGCCGTAGGTGCAAACTAGCAGCCACGTTTCCGTCAGTCTGCCCCAGGGCAGCTATGACTACTAAGGTCGTTTACCACCACCGAGGTGTGACTGTGTGAGTGAATGAATGATGTATCCAATGTAAAGCACTTTGAGGGTCTCTGATGAAGCGCTATAAAAATCTGATGCATTATTATAATGTGCAGGGGCGTGGTTTCCTCCTCTCTGATTTTGATTGATGGCTGGCAGGGTAGTCTGATTGGCAACTGAGTGAAGAACGAATGCGATTGGTGGATCGCTGCACAGCACATGCAGAGTCACATGCAGTGTATCTCAGTCAGCTACCCTTGAAATTATATAAGTTCATTTGCTTCCTACATCGCAGGCTCTGCAATATCACTATCACGCACATGTACATCACGATGACGATGCTGAAACAATATATCGTGCAGCCCTAGAGCAGGGGTGTGGTGTCTGTTAGCAATCCACTGGTTTTTGGCAGCAGAGCTTTGGAGAGCAGCCCAGACGACCTTCCAGACCTGCCTACAGTGGCTTTGATTAGCCTGAAAAGAGGGGACTGTTACATCTTCCTTCTGGGCTGGAGAGAGGGGTGGTTGGAAACCCAGAGAGACCATAAATGGAGACATACCTGTGGATTATCTGGTAATGGAGTTGTGGGCATACTCAATCCAGGGCAGATGAGAGCTCCAGGACATAGGGTTAGGGTTAACCTTGTTGTGTTGGTAGGAAGCAACACAACAGAGGGCAGATTCCAAGTCCTGGATTTCCCATTCTGTTTGACAGTTAGTTTGAGGATAGTACCCAGAAGTCAAGCTGGCATTGGCTCCAAGGGCCTGGGGGAGTTCATGCATATAGAATGCATGCCGTACCAGAAGAGCTGCAATCCTTGTAGCAGAAGGAAGTTTGGGGAGGAGTGCCAAATGCAGAACCTTGGAGAACCAGTCTATAATTTTAAGTATGGTAGTGTTACCGTCAGATTGAGGCAAACCAGTGACGAAATCCACTGTGATGTGCAACCATGGATGACTGGGTACAGCCAAGGGGTGCAGCAATCCAGCAGAGGCCTGGTGTGATTACTTACTGCAAGCGCAGACAGTACAAGAAGACACAAAGGCACGGCTACCCTGGGACACCAAAATACCTCCTTGAAAAAAGTTTGGTTTATACCAGAGTGACAGGAGAGCTGGGAGGGATGCCCCCACAGGAGCACTTGTGAATTAACAGAATTAGGAACAAATAAAGGATTGTGTAGTCTGTTACCTGGATCTGGTTGTGTGTAATGTTCTCAATCTCCCAGTGTTCTGCTGCCACTACACAGTCTATGGGGAGAAAGGTCTCAGGCTTAACCTCTTCCTTTTCAGGAGCAGGTAAACAGGAGAGCATGTGGTTTGCCATTCCTAGATCCAAGGCGGTAAGTCAGGATGAACTTGAAGCTGTGGAGGAAGAGGGCCCAATGAGCTTGATGGGAATTTAGCCTCCAGGTTAACTGTAAAAAGGACAAATTCTTGTGATTAAAATGTCTTGTAGTATTTTAGAGATCCATCCTTACAATAAACTGAGGATGGGGGTCTGGACGGGCTAGTACAGGGACTGAGAAGAACAATAGTTTTAGATGGTTGAAGGCCACTTAAGCCTTTGGGTCCAGATGAAGAGGGAGGTGGTAGAGGTGGAGTTGCTGCTCGGCTGTAGTCCCTTTTGAAGTGCCGGTAAAAGTTGGCAAAACTGGCTAAGACTGAAGGTGGATGAATTCTGGCAGTGTTGGGCTTGGAGTTGTTTGATGTGCTTACAGCCGCTATCACCTGCTCCTCTGCTGTCTACCTGCCAGCCTGGTCGGTGTGTCAAGTAGTTCATTTCTTTTAATGAAGGATTACATAACACGGGCTGCTTTACAGTTCTGCTGTATAAACTGTAAAAAAAAAACCAAAACATGGACACCGCAACAGCCACCCTGATTGAAGGCAAAACTTGTAGAGCTAGACCAACTGCAGCCCACCGTCTCCATTATACCAGGTGGTATACAGGTCTACCAAGAAAATTAACACGTCATTTTTTTCCCAGACCATGATGCACAGGTACCAACAGAGTGGAGTAGTTATGACATGATAAAGCGACCCACTTCCTTGTTTTGTGTCAGTTTGTGTCTTCACCTCTCCTGCAGACCATGCCAAAGTACATATGTCCGAAGCCACCGGTTTAAGCGAACCCAGGCATGGTGCCCGAGTCTGGTGAGATTATGTTCCTACTGATCAATTGAACTGAACTTTAGGGGTCAGGTGTACACAGATCTGAGCCTGGGTCCACACCCTTAAATGCAGTTCCCCACCCACAGCTTCTGCATTT